CTGACTGGCAAGATAAACTCTTATGTCTTAAGGAATAAAAATTTTAAGAACTAAGATAGTAAGTCCATTTCATAAGGCTACAGGATTTATTTGACATGAACAAAACCTTGCCGAAGAAAAGAAAGACGTTGCTAGGTAGGAAACAGATTGCACACTAGCATTGTACACAAAAAAAAAAAAAAAGACACTAAATCTAGTAACACCAGGACACCAGGAAATAAAATAATTTAAAGTTTTATGCATAAAACATACCTGTTCTAATTAAAAAAATATGGTTGATCTTCATATTGCGGAGAAAAGACAAACTGCTGTAGGCATGGAGATGGAGGGGCAGGAAGAATGTAGCCCAACACTTCACTTAAATATTTAAACCTTGTTAAAACTGCAAGATCCAAAAATGAATCATCTGATCAGTCTCAGCTGGAAAGCAGGTTCCATGGCATGGGAAGCCATTATAGGAGGGAGAGGAGGAAACAGGGTTTTCAGACTAGAATCTAGAATTTGAGTAAGCTATGTGAAAGTTGAAGCAACAGTTATATTATGGATTACACTGCATTTAAAGTCTCAAGCAAGTTAAGCATACAAATATTTTGTCTAAACACACAGATCAGTTTAAAAACAACTCAGTTGTAATGAATGAGCAATCCTTCCACTAAATTTTATAATGACATTATTAACATGCATGTGAGCTTTACAGTAAGGGAACAGCTCAGACCTACTCCAAGAAACATTGGGAAATTTTAGCTATAGAGCTTGTTGCAAGTCAGGATGAAGAATATACGCCTGTTGACATGTGGAATACATCTAACAAGGAATAAAATATGGAAAGAAGTACTACAGTGCAAGAAAAACCTAGACACATTTTCATAGCCTGCCAGTATTTAAAAATCTCTTTCAGGCAAGATATGTATGTCAGAATTCATCGTGGGAATAGTATCAAACAATAACAGAGGAATATTTAAAAAGGCTTTTGGACAACAGAACTTCAGCTCACTTCACTCTAGCATCTGAAATTAGATGTGGAAGTAGAGCTAGGAAGAACTTCAGAAAGCATTAATTCACCCAGAGAAGGAATGCATGTCCCACTGGCAAATTAAGAAAAGAAAGACACAGTCTATAAATTCTCTGAAAGTAGTCTCTCTCAGATGTCCAAAACGTAAGCAGGAACAATTTGGAGACAGATCATTTCAGATAGGAATATGGTGATGACTTAACATATACACATTAAAATTCAACCAAACTAATTATACTTTTTTCCTCCCTTTCCAACATTTCAACAAAGAAATCTTCCATTTTATTGAAACAGTGCAGTGCTGCCATCAGTACAGCCTAGGCAATTAAAAATAACAGATTTTTAAAGCACATATGCCATGCTCAACAACAGCCGGCACTTTGGCAAGATATTGCGGCCATGAATCTAATGACAAAAAAAAATAAAGCTGAGATAGGCACCAAGAGGCTTTTCAACCTTAATAGACACAGCAGCTAGGATACTGAGTTACAGTCAATTTGTGCTGGAAGCAGAAAAAACAGAACCTTCTGCAGGCATGATCCTGTAAGATAACAAAGAGACTGAACTTCTGAGGCACAGACCACTGGCATAGGCCAGCTGGGTTTCTGATGGTTTTTGTTCCTGTTGCCCTTCAGGAAACAGGATTTTGCAAAATTGTTTCAAATAAACAAGAACACAACTATAGAATGCTCCTAACATTTGTCACATATTTTCATGTTAGCCAAACTGAAAGACTAACAAAGAAACAATATTATGAAAATTTAATAAAGATGTTAACTAAAGCAAGTATTTACTCAAGTAACAGAATATGGAGGTTTTCTATGTACAGTTCCACGCTTTTGACTGTACTTGTTTCTTTTAAACTGAGGTTAATGATCACTCCAGTAACACTCCTCAACTCACAAATGAGCAACATTCCCTTTTCTACGTAGGGATAGTTTAAATCTGTGAAACTTCATTTCTAGGAGATAGTACAAGATATAGGATCTTGCTCAAAATGAAATAAGCCTCACAGTAAAAATATTGCAAATTATAGTTATAACGCTTCTATAAAACAGAGGTCACAATTCACATCATCTATTATTCATATGGAAGTACGCGATACTCATTTCCACTTCTCAATACTCCACAGTATCAGTCTTAAGATCTTATTGTTGCGTTCTTGGGGGGTTTTGGTGTTTGTTTTTTTTAACTCCACAATGAATAGTACTAATTTGCCATTTTCTTCTGGTTAATACACATAGGATACCACTTAATCTCTAGGCTTTTCAGGAAAAATAAACGAATCGTGAATTGCCTGAGGGTGTTCAATATAAGAACCCTCAAATGGGGAAGAAAGGGGGAAAAAAAAAAAAAAAAAAAAAAGGCATTTACTCTACTAGACTAGTTTTCATAAAGAAATACACAGACCTTTGTCTTCAAACCAATGCCACAATTCCAAGCAATTAAATAGCATTAACTGCATCTAAAACTATATTTCAAACAAAAATCTACTGTTTTTCAAAAACTATATTTTACCAGTTTTCTAGTCTTAAATGTTATAACCAAAAACCTAATCCTGGTGTTCAATTTTTTAAGGCAACAGAAAGGGAACAGTCCAAAACGTTACCATTTCACACTGTGAAAGCTTCCTTATTCCTATCTGGTGTTTCTTAGGACTTCCTAGTTTACAGAGTTTCTTAAATGCTCAGACAATTAAGAAAATAGGTAAAAACCTTAAGAAATTTTCTTCATTGCTATGTTCTAACTTAAGAGATTGTGTTCGTAACTCGCTATGGAATATGCTTTTAAGCATGAACACAATACTGACACCTACTGGTGACCGGAATTATAGATCAGTTTCAGATGAAAAAAAATGTTTTAAGTACACAGCAAAAGAAAACAAAGGGACAAATTACTTGTAAAGATTAAAGTAAAGTAAATACGAATGTGAGAGATTCAATACATTTTAAAGCAATGCAGATATTCTAGTTTCACTAAATAACACAAATCCAGCAGCTGGCTTCCACTTCTCGTTTTAAAACAGCAGAAAATAATAACTAATGAATCCTTATGGATGAAACAATAGATGTTTCGTCCTGTGACAACAGGCAAGTGAACCTGATGATTCAGTTGATCCAGTCCTTTGTTTCTATAGAGCAGTTGTCCTTTAAAGCACAAGGATTTAACTGCCTTTGCCTGAAATTAATAATTTCATATGCGTTCTTTTTAATGAAAAATGTGAACTTCAAATGTTGATGTGCAGAATTTCAGAGATTTTCTGTCCCTTCTCCATAATTAGTATTATTGTGTCATGCTTCACAATGGACTACAGTGGAATTGCGAGTTGACAAACAATCAAGACATATCAAGTACATGCTGGCTATGCTCATTTTTTCCCGGTACATTGATGGCTTTGCCCTTTTCTCAGATTTCAGGCATGAGGTTTTTGGTGTGATGTACTTCCATCACCTTCTATAAGATGCCATGAATGCTGTTTAACAGGTACCTCTTAATACTGGAAAAGCATCACCATTTCAGCATTCACTTAGAGGAATCTCCTTTACCTCCAATAAAGTTTTTTAAAAGCCAGTTTGGTTTGCTCAAGGCAGAAGTACTCACAGGTACAACTCTCTCATTACAAAAAAAGATTTTACTTCTCTCCCATAAAAAAACATGCTTATATTCCTCCCTCACTGAAACTATTTATACTTCCACTTACTGATCTTTTCACCATTCATATTCTGCAACATCAATTACAGAACTCAATTAAAATCCTTGTTTTTAACAACCGAAGCCATAATCCTCTCTGCACACATTGCATCTGAACATTTGTCTCAATCCCAAAGAGGACTCTGAAAGAGCAGAACTCCGCAGAACAAAGGCTGTTCACATGACTGATTTCATTAAGGGATTAAAAATTGCATTTAGAATGGATTTATTTACAACAGGTTTGATAAGCTTCCATAAATGAAGCCTAAAACATCCAGAAATCTGATTTAGGCACTCCAAGGCCAAGATACAGAAGACAATTTAAATCAGACTTCTTCCTTTACAACAAAGAACCTGGAATAGAAAAGTAGGTCCAATAACCTCACAGCGAGCTATTTCATTTCAGGGGATGTATGGCCTCCTTACTTTCTTCTTATTTTTATTAAGGACAAAGAAAATTAAAGCATTGCTGATGTGCACTTAACTTTCAATCTAAGTGTCTTAAAAATCTCTTCCCTCTAGGTTAAAGCTTTACAAGTAATATTTCATATTAGTGTTGAGTCAAAACCAGACTTGTACAACATGCAGCTCCCTGGCCAGCACGGCCCACCAGCAGGTGAGAGGCAGAACGCTCAGTCTGCACTGCTGTGGCAGAGGAACAAGGAGTAGTTTGGGAAGGTACTGCACCAGGGAGGGAGCCAATACCGACTCGGGCAAGAGAAGTGTGAAAGACTATTGGTGTAGGAAGTAGGGAATCCTGTGTCAGGATTTTAATGCCCACGCACACTGCTGCTCTACTGTCACAGTGCTACAGTTGTGCAATGAAATTCTGATAAAATCTACCTTACAGCACCTTCATCGGCTCTAATAAAATAAAGTATTCACCTAAAATTACTCTATTACTGAAATGATTATGTTTTTCACTTCATAAAGAAAGCATCTTCCTTCTCTTTTTCCTTTTTCCTTTTTTTTTTTTTTTTTAAAACATACTACAGTTGTATCGGAAAACTGTATTCTTCAAAGCCTTCCTCGTTATTACTTTTGCACCAAATGCCATCCAAATAAACAAAGCTGTTATTCAAAAAGGTAGATAGTTCAAATTAAAATTATTTAGTGATAAATCACAGCATACAATCAATAAATACCCACTGAAATAGTTTTCTTATAAGCACACAGAAGACAATTAACAAAAGGAATAAAATGGATTTGAAAAAAAAGAACAATAGAAAACGATATTTTTAGTAAAATGCAGTAAAAGTACACATAGCAAGGTGCAATCTATATTATCTAAACATACCTTTCCAAGATCTGCAGCCTGTTTTAAAATATCTCTTTTTAGATCTTCTGCTCTCTTGGAATGAAAAGAATTACTTTGACTCTGGATGATAAATACAATTTCTTTTAATTCTGTGAACCAGAAAATAAGAAGATTTAAAGACAAAAGAAGTTATTTTCATTTTTTCTCCAAAGCTAGTGAGAGCCCAGGTGCATGTGGAGGAATCTATTACACAGCAAGCTATCTCTTTAGTTATACAAACATTTAATGAAATAGTAAAAAGGCATAAATTAACCACACCAAAAAAATCCAGAACAGTCCTTTTAAGGATTAACAAACAAAAAGCATGACATGACTGGCAGATCTGCAGCAACAAAGACACTTATGCCCGCAGTTAACAGCAGCCACATTCATGAAGTTGCTTTTTCTCCAACACACCAGCACACCTTATTACCAGAGTCAAAAGGTGTTAGTCATAGACCAGCATGTCCCCTCACTAGGCAATGCATGAACATAGAACAGAAAAGATGCTTCCTCAATAAAGAGCTTAAAACGCTACCCAGAAACAAACATCAGATGGAGAGATGCACATGAGAAAAATGAGGTAATACTCTTTAATCTAATAGGACAACACCAACATTTCACATCTTCACAGTGTTTAAAGGCACCACAGTTAAGAACTTTCAACTGGAGAAGAGACTGAGAAATTTAAAAGAAAATAATGAAGTAGCTTTGCAAACATTTATGGATAGAAAAAAGTGCCTATTAAAAAAATATAAGTAGGCAATGAAGCAGATAGTCAAATTTTCTTGATGATAGTAGATAGAACAATGCCTCAACACTTTGAAAGCTAAGAAAAACAAGCAAATTTGATCCCATTCAGAAGCAGAACACAGCAGAAGACAACAGAGGATGAGAAGATGAAAGGAAGAGCAGACAGATGTCCTTTCCAAAATTCTTAACAAGTTTGACCTATGCTGCATAACCCATGCAAGACCAGAACTAAGTAGCAATCAAAGTTTAAGACGAGGAGAACTGCACAATACTGCGGTTTCTGTTTGTTTGGCCGGAAAAGACTGAACTTCACGGATACTATGCAGAAAGCATCCAGACAAGGAAACTCAAAAATGTAACAACTGAAGAGGTTCAAGACAATGACCGTTCAATCACTGCATAAGAAACAAAAAAAGTTAGTAATGATGTTGTCAGTGTTCAAGGAGATAAGTAGAGGACTTGTGGGGATGGGGGAGTTTGAGAACTGCATTTATATTCTGTCACTTGAGGTGACAGTCAGATCAAGCATAAGAGGTAACAGAATCTATTTAATTCAACGAGGAGGCAGCACAGAAAAGGCTGCTGAGTTAATGTTTACAAATTACATCACTCGAAGACAAGACAGTACAAAAAGAAAAGAAATTAAAGTCCCATGGGATCTGTATAGAATATCAAAAAATGTGGAGAAGGAACAAAGTGCACAAGGAACAAAAAATTACATAGCTAACAAAAAAGACATACAAGTCAAACTTCAGAAAAGCAGAATTTTAAGATCACCATCAGCAGCAACATTATGAAAGCTGACAGAGAAAGTAAAGATACAAACCCTCTAGGAGAGCTTTCTAAGACACTTTCTGGTATTCCCTTGAAACCAAACTTTGAGTGAGATACAGGAGATATCAAATTGAAGACAGTCCAGGAAGAAAGTTCAGTAGAGAACTAGTGAGTCATGGCTGATTGAAAGCTGCCAGATTTTACTACAAGTCACGTCTGTGAAGACAAACATCCCAAGGACAGAGCACCTTAGGGAAAGCATGTGAAGCTTCTTGTCAGGCAGCAAAATATTTCAATTCTTTTAATCTGCAGTTTCACTGCCGTGTAAATTCAAGCTTTACATCATGCAATATTTATTTTTAAAGTATATATTCTTGCATAGTAGATCAAGTCAATCTAAAAGATCCTAGTGTCACACCAAAATCTTGACCTCTAGGTTAAAAATGTTAACTTGGCAAATAGAGTAGAATGAGTGAAGAACCGTGGAACAAAGATGGAGAATAAATGTCCAAAGGAGGAAAGAAGTAGTTTCAAGGAAAAAGGAGTAAAACTGAGCACATGAAGAAAGATCACAAGAAAAACAGTGGCAAAAAAAAGAGCATTAACCTCAAGTATCTTCACTAAGATTATGAGATTACCATCTCCAAAACCTGAGGACTGATTACATTCCTTTGTTCCTCTGAGCAGTTACTTGTTAATCTAACCTATGACAGCTCAAAGCTGCAGTTAAATGTTCTACTTTTCCCTCAATTTGCTAGCTTATTCACCAAGACAAACTCTGAAAATGCCAAATTGTGTGAGGTTTCCGGAGATAAAGTTGCAAAGATGGCATAAGCATTGACATAGATATCAGTTTTGATTTCACATTTTTCCCGCACAGCATTCCCTCATGCTCTGCCCCACCAAACAAGCTGCTTAAAAAAACCATGCACATTAAAAACTTCTGAATAGCAGCTATTCGATATTTAGCCGGATGTTTCCTAGATCTCCTGTGCAAAAATTAAAATTAGTGTAAAAATCAAAATTACACTTCATTGATGCTAGTGAGAGTCAAAGAGCTAAGTGCTACATGCACAATACTGAAAACAACCCAAGAGAGAAAACCCAAAACCTATTTTGCTTTATATAATTACTGTTTCAGTATCAGTATATTTACAGATGTGCAAGCATCTGAATTACACGCAGTTACATTCAAGGGTACATTTAACAACAGCTGTGATATCCCACAATAGAATACTTTCAGGAAGTACTCTACCACCTACTTTAGTGTTACTGCTTTAATCCAATGGAAATAGTTTGCTCTGCTATAGGCACTTTAAAATAGCTCATAAAAAGACATATTCATTGTATCAAAATGTCAACAGAAAATAGGTATAATTTTAAACACCTAAATTGTTTCTCAAGTTGAGAAACAGTCAACCAAGCAAGACAAAGAACAGAGTCTTTTGGAAGAGTAATATCCAAAAATAGCTACTGATATGCGGATACTTCATGTCTCTCTTCTCTTTTATTTCCCCAAGACACTTATATATCTGGAAAATATCCTCAACAATCTCAAATGCTTATTGATTGGAAAAATACTGCAAGTTCATATTAAAAAAAATAAATTCGGAAACAGGAATGCTAAAACTCTGAGTCTCACCACAATAATGGCTCATTGCTAAACAGAAGGGAACCTTAGTCAACTTTTAACAAGCCATTAACAGTAATGTGTGTTTCAGCAAGTGTACAATGACCTATGCAAAATATTCCTCCTTAGGAATTATCACTAAATCAGCTCAAAAGAAATCTCCCAGAAGAACATATGATGATGATGATGTTTCCTGATAGCCTTTCTCTACTACCCAGAGGTTAAAGCATTCACCTAAGATGCAATAAAACCCAAATTCTCATCTGTGAGGCAGTTTGGGCCTGAATATAGGTCTTTGGCATTCCAAGTCAGCCTCCTTAATTTCTAGACTGCAAGTATATTCCGAAGTGGGTTTTCCCCACTCCCTTCTACTGTTCTAGAAAAGAGTGAAAATGACTCCTGAGCTACCCAATTATCTAACTCACCTGAAACAGCGGGCATCTAGAACCATGTCTTCAACTTGCCGAATGTTTAAACACATCACTAAAAACGTAGAACAAGCATCAACAGAAAAGACAGAATTTCATGATGACCTGTATACTTTCCTGGAGAATGTGTGACATGGTCCAAACCATTTCCGCAAAAATTTGATTTATAATTATGACTTTAAAACAATGAGGATGCTGTCTAACCACTGGCCTCTACTAGGTAAATGAATGCCGCGGACACCTTTGTGGCTCTGCCAACGGTGCTTAAATCTAGCTCCTCTTTTCTTTGGGTTTTTCTTTCTTAAGAAATGATGGAAATAAAATGAATTTGTTTAAGGCTAAATGGAATATTTGTACAATGAAGACCCAGTGAGAAAATACAAAACATCTCATTTTTTTATTCAGACAAAAACTAAAGCACAGAAGCACTGGTGCTTTGACTCACAAACCAGAGACGCTACTGTGTAGGTCAGAAAACTCAGCTTCCAATTTGAGTCTAAAAAAATTTAGGCCACATGCATATTCTGTAGGCCTTCCCCTCCTTTTATGCCCACTCTAAAATCAAACTAAACTCTAGATCAGGCTCTTTTAGCTCTTATATTTTGAGCAGATTTTTGCGGCCTCATAAAAAGCTTCCACAGTTAAAAGTCTTTTCTTGCGCTAAGAACAATAAAAAACACCTTGAACCAAATACCTCTTCACCCCACAGCCAAAAGCCAGGAGATACTCTTGTGGTGAAGGAATGACTCAACCTACCTTGGATCTCTCCTCACACTTGGAAGTGCCCCTCTCTTTCCACAAATTGCAGAAGGAATCTAGAGAACTCACGCTCCCCAGCTCAATGTTTCCTTGAGTTTCCAAAGAAGGCAAAACCATTGTACATTAGCCTGAAATAGCCAATGCCTCACTTCAAGGAGAGATTGACTTTTGTTACTCAAATATTCTACAAGCTGAAAATACTGTTGGTCAACAATAAGGCCTATCGTTTGGGGACAAATACACTCACCAATAGAGTACCTATAAATCCACCTGAAGGGCAAGACTTTTTGCCATGGCCTGGCAAGGATGACCCAACACTGGTAAGTCACACCACTTATCTTTCGGCTGGACTGTAACATATCCATGCATGGAACACTTTGCGCACCAGCCAACCCAGAAAGCTACACTGCATTCTGGGTAGACAAAGCAACCATGGGAACATGAAGTTCAGTCTTTTATTATACTTGTCTTCCCAGTGACTAGAATATCAAAGTGTTGATACCTGTCTTCAAAGGCTTGACTAAGGACACTTAAAAAGACCTCTTAAAACTTTGAAAGGAAAACTTCAGATGGTAACTTTGCTTCCTTGGTACAAAGGTACAGCTGATCTATAAAGGAGAAAGAATTTTCTTACACAAGTCTGAAAAAGAAGAATGAAAAATCACAGGAATTAAGAACCATCAAGAACTTCATTCTCTGTTTCAAGTCCTTCCTTGAGTTTACCCAAAGAAACGGGTTAAAAGAGACTTCCAAAAAAAAAAAGAGAAGACATATTACATCAGACCACTGGTCCATCTAGTCCAGTATACTGTCTTTAACAGTAGCCGTAGGAAACACTATTTAGGGGCACCACGAGACCTTCCAGGTTTTCTCCAGCGCCTCTCGTACTCGAACAGCATCAACAACTATTGTATTAGCAAATGCCAGAAGATACATTGCTGTCTACTTATCTTACCATACATTTATGGACTTGTCTTCTCTTCAAACTGCTGGTACATCCTGCTTCCACAACCTGCTGTGGCAGCAGGTTTCTAAATTTTACTACCTGTAAAATTTTACTACCTTGTTTGTCTGCTTTAAAGTGATCTCCTACTGAAATAAACAATAGATGACAGATGGTGGTTACATCATTAATGTACCACTGTAACATTCCTAAATATAACCTTCCTAAGTAATGAGATTATATTGAAACTTATGAAAACTTAGCACTGCAAAAACCCCCAAAAACATCTGTCAATGCCTCCCTGGGTGTTTTAGGAAGTGAGACACAGCAGGTCTGCTGGGAGTGAAAAAGCAGGAACGAGCACCTGGCTGTGCTATGAGATTCCACAGAAGTACATGAAAGAACACAAAGAGGACACAGACTTTGTTT